GGCAAAAAGTGGGCAAGCCAACTGACTCTGAGCATTGATCACTAACGGTAATACAAATATAAACAAAACAAACAAGCAAAAGCATAAACAAAGAAAACAACAAACATGTATAGCAACAGACTTTTCTAGAAAGACTAAAATAAACAACAAAACACATACTTTAGCAGACGATTCTAGAAAGATTAGAGTAGATAATCAAGTTACACAAATTCTATATGAGAGAAATAGATATATACAATATGGGTCTACTAGAACCAGTTATATGCTGAGCAGATGCAAGACTAAGATATATCAATTGTGTATTTCTTAACAGGTCTCTACAAGAAGCTAGAGAAAGAGAACCAGATAATATAGATATTATAGCAGCAATCTGTGTAGCAAAGAAACTAGACGAAAAAATAGTCCTAATGTTATCACTGTTTGGACAAGTAAGAGAATCACTCCTAGTAGTCAAAGATAATATCCCAGACAAGGTCTTACAAAACTGGCGAGAAAAGGCTATGATGACCAAACTAAACCTGGGTCTATTGACTATATGGCAAGCATAAGCCTAAAAAAATAACAAGAGAAGAAAATAAAATAAAAATTGTAAAAGAAAATCCACAGGTGGAATCATCAATACTAGGAAAGAAGCAATGTTTAGAAGAAGAAGAAAGAGAAGAAGCAATAACACAAACAAAGACTACTGATATAGATAAGATACAACAACAAATGCAGAACTTAGAATTAACAATCAAGCAACAGAAACAGATATTAGTTAAACAAGAAGAAATTCTTGGGTCATTAGATGAAGAAGATGAGAAAAGAAAAACAGGAAAGAAACACAAGACAAATAAAGGAAAACAAAATAATATACAGCTAGCCTATAACAAAATAAAGATTTATCAAGAACTACAAGTTATAGCAGAAACAAGCACAAGTACACAAAGAACTCAAAAAGAAGATATGATAATCACAAAAATCTTTTTGAGTCAAAATATATAGGTGCCAAGCAGAAGACTTTGTAGCAACATAGGAGAATATAAGACCAAGATTCTAGTATATAATATACCAGGTGAAAATAGAGAACAACATATTAAAATGATAGAAGGAATGCTAGCTAGCAACAGACACTTGAAAGAAGTCAATAAAGTATTCAAGAACTATAATGAATATGTAGAAGTCATCTTTGACTGTGAAGCAAAAAGAAAAGAAGTGATAGAGAAAATAGAAAAGAAGAATCACAAGTGGTTTAGAATAATACCAGAAGAAACACGACAACTAAAGAAAAGAAACAATGCAGCACAGAAAAACTCAAATGCAGAAGAATCCAAGAAGACAAAAAAAGGAAAGAACTATAAGAAAGAAAAAAGAAACTATAAGAAGGTTCCCAATAAAAAAACGGAAAATGAAGAGTCAAGTACAGAAAAAGACGACAAAAAATAATATATATAACAGTATGAGATCTATCTAAAGAAATAAATCAGCAAGAGATATAGCATGCCTGCAAGAGATTAGGAAAGATAGAAAAAATACAAATTAAAAGAAGCTTCTCGAAAGCACTAGCAATTTTGAGAATTAGAAAAAAACTAGACAAAGAAGTCCCTTGGGCAATACCAATCAGAGAAAAACTAGCAAAAGTCATACTAGAAAGAGAAGACTTCAGAAAAAAAACAGTCAAAGTAATATAATAGCAAAATTAAGAGGACTACCAAAAAGTGTATCAGAGGTTCTTTTACTCAACAACTTAAGAAATAGAGAGGCCAAGTCAGTCTATATACCACATAATAGTAATGGAAGACAAAAAGCAGTAGCAATCATAGCTTTTAAATATAAAGAAGACAAAGATCAAGCAACTACAAAGGTGGTAAGATATAACAACTGGCTACTAAAATGGGAAGCTCCATATATAGAAGAAACAAATACTGCAAGTGAGACAGAAGAGTCATGCCAAAATGAAAGAGAAGAAAAGAAAAAAATGAAACAAGAGGAAGAAAAGAACAAGAACACAACAGAAGACAAGAATATAGAGAAGAACACTTCAAAGAGACTACAAGTGAGGAAAGTTCAAGAATATCAAGAGCAGGTCCTAGCAAAGAAGAGGAGTCTCGTAAAAAGAGAAACAAAAATGAAGCAAAACCACCAAGCATAGAAGAGATACTAATAGAAATCCTAAGAAGGTTAGAGAACTTAGAATAAAACCCAAGTAATAGAGGGAGAGTCACAAGATGATCCTAAAAAGGTGATAAAGTTGAATTTAGAAAAAGGGCTGTAGGGGTAAAAAACACAGCTCAAAAAACTAAAAGGGGACGAGAAGGAAAGAAGAAACAAACACTACATAATGAAAGAAGAGTAAGTAGAAAGAAGAAGGTATTGCAGAAAGATACTAGTAAATATTGTCCTATAACAAGAACATTAAATGAAAAAAAAGATAGATATCAAGTTTTCAACAAGCTTAAGATTGGATTTTATAATATAAACAGAATTAAGACCAAGAAAAACAAATTAAAATCAATTATAGACTATATAGAAGATGAGAAAATCATTATAATTGGTTTGGCAGAGACAAATCTGTTAGAAAAAGAAAGTAAATTTATATTCAGAAAGGAAGAAAAATTTATAGCAATTTGGTCATCAGCAGACAAAAACAAGAAGAAAGTGTCAGAAATGGGTATAATTCTTGACAAACAATGGGAAAGACACATAACCGAAGTCAGCAAAGAAAACCCATATATTATAGATGTGATTTTGGAGTTCAAAGAACTAACAGTAAACATATTAGTACTATATGTAGCACCTAATGACCAGGAAACACAAACTTCAATCATAAGTTATATATTAAGAAGAACAAACACTCAAGGAAAGAAGAAGCAGCAAAGGTTTGTGATAATGGGGGACTTTAATACAAACCTAAGCATCTCTTGTGAACAAAGTGCGAAAAGAAAAACCAACAAGAAAAAGAAAATAATAGAGGAGCTAGCAACAAAAGGCTTCATAGATAGGTTTAAGAAATCCAATCCAGAAGAGGAGTCAGCGATATAGAGCAACAAAGACACACAATCAAGAATCGATATCTTGTGGGTAAATAGATATTGGGCAGGAAATATAATCTAAAACAAAGTAGAAGATATGACCTATATAACTGAAAGCGACCACAAGGCAGTCATTCTCAAAATAGAAACAGGGATAGATTTAAGGAAAAAACAAGACAAAAACGAAGAGAATAGAAAGAAAATGACTAAATCTCGAACTAAAAAAAGCTACTACAGAGGATTGAGAGGAGTATGAGGCAAAGCTCGAAGAAGAAATTAAAAGACAAGTAAAAGAGTTGATCAAGAAAGACAAAGAAGAAGAAAAGCTCTACCACAACATAGATAATCAAAAAGGGAGTATTCTGTATTAGGCAGAAGAATTTGAAAAACTAAACATAGACCAAATGTGGAATATAATTGAATGAGCCATTAGAACAGCAGCAATAAGCACACTTCTACAAAAGAAGAAAGTAGCTGAACTCATATTAGCAAAAAGATACAGCATTATAACAAACAGGCTTAGACAAGATACAAGAAAGCTAGACAAATGGTGCAGAAAGATAAAGAGAAAAGGCTATACAAGCCTGTTAGACAAAAAAAAGGAGATCTCAATGCCTTCATTAAAACAATTAAAAGAAAATAGGATCTGGGAGACATAGCAGATCCAACAAATAATAAAAATCTAAAGATATAGTAGAAAGTGCTATACAAGAAATAGCAAGCTAAAAAACAAACAGAAGAAGAAAAAAGAATTAAAGACTTCATAAAAAAAAGGTATGAAATAATAGTAAAGGACCAGAAAAGAATGATTGATAGCATATTAGACAGGCTGTATAATAGCATTAAAATTAGCAAAGTAATTAAAGAGAATAAAGAAGAAAACAAGAACGAACTGAATAGAAGTATTAGTACAAACCAAGAACAGGCCCAACAGACATAACATATCCACTAATCAAACACATGAACAAGTGAACAAAAAAGGCCTTTAGAGTTTTGGCAAACAGGTGTTTCAAAATAGGATTGATGTCAAGAAAGTAAAAACTAGAAATACTATACTCAATACCGAAACGAGAGAACTAGAACTACAATCTCAATAATATCAGACCAATCTTACTACTTGAAATATTTAGAAAAACAGTAGTAAGAATTCTAAACAACAGACTAGACAAAATACTAAAAGAGAAAAAAATCCTCGAAGAAAGAAATTATGCAGGCCTACCAGAAGAAAACATAGCAGAGCCAATTTATATCATAAACAATATTATAGAAAATGCAAGAGAGAACAAGAAGAAGTTATAGTTGCTATTCCAAGACATGAAGAAAGCATTTGACTTAGTAAGTATAGAAATGCTTAAGCTAGCATTGGGAAGAATCAAGCTACCGAAAAACACAAGTGACTTTATAATCAACCTGTATAAGAACAGAGAAATAGAAGTAATCACAGAAGTAGAAGTAATACAAAAATTCATAGCTAAGGATAGCATAGACCAAGGAGAGGTTATCTCACCACTAATATAGAAGATTTTTTACAATCCTCTTTTGGTTCAAATACATGCAAAAAAGAAGTAGGTTATAAAATAGAGATAGTATGACCCAAAGATATCAAGTACAATAACGTTGAAAAATAAAATATAAAGATCCCAGTATTAGCATATGCAGATGATACAATGTACATAGCAAGAAGCCAAGAAGAAATAGAGAAAATTACAAGTATAGCAAGAGGGTTCTTTGAAATTAATGATATCGAAATTAATATAAAGAAATCAGAACTATTAATAATATATCTCAAAAACAAAGTAGACACAGAAGGGTATAATATTTAGTTCAAAAAAAGAAACAGTCCCAAGAAAAAAAACAGAAGAATTGACAAGATATCTGGAAATATGGATATCAGAGAAGGCCAAACAAAAGCATATAGAAGAAATCATAAAGAAAGAAGTATAGACAATAGTTAAAGACCTCAAGAAGAAGAAAATTTCACTGGTACACATGCAGTATATTAACAACAAAGTACTAATACTAAGAGTAGAGTACAAGACACAACAACATATATTGCCAAGGGAAGTATGTGATAAACTACAAAGCCCACTCTTCATGTTGATCAAGAACAAAGCAAGAATAACGTACACGATACCAAATACAGCAATAGTATATAAGAATATAGTTGGTATCAAAACTATATAGCAGAACCAGATTGTATACCATGTTACAGAACTCACAGCAAGACTTAACAACAGGCAAGAGGTAGAAAAAACAACATGAATGAGATTAAAACAGGCTCAACTAAATCTAAAAGAACAATCTGTATTTCAGAATCATTAAAGAAACGAAAAAGCTTAAAATAAATATTAGGTCAATAAAATTAGAGAAAGACCTGCAACTATATAAAGAAGAGACTGAAATCATGAACCTACTTGAAAAGAAGCTTTGGACAAGAAAAAGTGATAAATATCTTCATACTCAAACAAATACTAGACAGCAAAAAAGAATCATTGCTCACTTGAAAACAAATAAAGAAGCTAAGAAACTGCAATACAAGAGACAAAAAGGCAAGATAGTTCTAAGAAATAGAAAAACTAGTTATCAGAGATGAAACAAACAGAGAGGTTAAAGAAGAATTCAAAAGAGATCCAGAAAACTACAACTTTATCCAAGCAAAACTAAAGAACATTAGCAATGACAAAAGACAAAGAGAGTAAATAGTATTCGACAAAAGAAATGAAAAAGCAGAGATAGATAGAATAACCCACAAACACAGTCACAAGAAATTCGAAATAGAACATTGGTGCAAGCAAGACTATTTAGAAAAAGGAAAAGCAGTTATAAAATCTTGTAAAAGATGCAAAGATAGTATGATGATAGCTGAAAATAAAATATACATTATCGAGAAACAATTTAAAGAGACCAAAAGGATAATAGACAAGCACCTGGTGAGGAGGATTAAAGTAGTTTTCTGGATCTCTTTTGAATTCTTCTTTAACCTCTCTGTTTGTTTCATCTCTGATAACTAGTTTTTCTATTTCTTAGAACTATCTTGCCTTTTTGTCTCTTGTATTGCAGTTTCTTAGCTTCTTTATTTGTTTTCAAGTGAGCAATGATTCTTTTTTGCTGTCTAGTATTTGTTTGAGTATGAAGATATTTATCACTTTTTCTTGTCCAAAGCTTCTTTTCAAGTAGGTTCATGATTTCAGTCTCTTCTTTATATAGTTGCAGGTCTTTCTCTAATTTTATTGACCTAATATTTATTTTAAGCTTTTTCGTTTCTTTAATGATTCTGAAATACAGATTGTTCTTTTAGATTTAGTTGAGCCTGTTTTAATCTCATTCATGTTGTTTTTTCTACCTCTTGCCTGTTGTTAAGTCTTGCTGTGAGTTCTGTAACATGGTATACAATCTGGTTCTGCTATATAGTTTTGATACCAACTATATTCTTATATACTATTGCTGTATTTGGTATCGTGTACGTTATTCTTGCTTTGTTCTTGATCAACATGAAGAGTGGGCTTTGTAGTTTATCACATACTTCCCTTGGCAATATATGTTGTTGTGTCTTGTACTCTACTCTTAGTATTAGTACTTTGTTGTTAATATACTGCATGTGTACCAGTGAAATTTTCTTCTTCTTGAGGTCTTTAACTATTGTCTATACTTCTTTCTTTATGATTTCTTCTATATGCTTTTGTTTGGCCTTCTCTGATATCCATATTTCCAGATATCTTGTCAATTCTTCTGTTTTTTTTCTTGGGACTGTTTCTTTTTTTGAACTAAATATTATACCCTTCTGTGTCTACTTTGTTTTTGAGATATATTATTAATAGTTCTGATTTCTTTATATTAATTTCGATATCATTAATTTCAAAGAACCCTCTTGCTATACTTGTAATTTTCTCTATTTCTTCTTGGCTTCTTGCTATGTACATTGTATCATCTGCATATGCTAATACTGGGATCTTTATATTTTATTTTTCAACGTTATTGTACTTGATATCTTTGGGTCATACTATCTCTATTTTATAACCTACTTCTTTTTTGCATGTATTTGAACCAAAAGAGGATTGTAAAAAATCTTCTATATTAGTGGTGAGATAACCTCTCCTTGGTCTATGCTATCCTTAGCTATGAATTTTTGTATTACTTCTACTTCTGTGATTACTTCTATTTCTCTGTTCTTATACAGGTTGATTATAAAGTCACTTGTGTTTTTCGGTAGCTTGATTCTTCCCAATGCTAGCTTAAGCATTTCTATACTTACTAAGTCAAATGCTTTCTTCATGTCTTGGAATAGCAACTATAACTTCTTCTTGTTCTCTCTTGCATTTTCTATAATATTGTTTATGATATAAATTGGCTCTGCTATGTTTTCTTCTGGTAGGCCTGCATAATTTCTTTCTTCGAGGATTTTTTTCTCTTTTAGTATTTTGTCTAGTCTGTTGTTTAGAATTCTTACTACTGTTTTTCTAAATATTTCAAGTAGTAAGATTGGTCTGATATTATTGAGATTGTAGTTCTAGTTCTCTCGTTTCGGTATTGAGTATAGTATTTCTAGTTTTTACTTTCTTGACATCAATCCTATTTTGAAACACCTGTTTGCCAAAACTCTAAAGGCCTTTTTTGTTCACTTGTTCATGTGTTTGATTAGTGGATATGTTATGTCTGTTGGGCCTGTTCTTGGTTTGTACTAATACTTCTATTCAGTTCGTTCTTGTTTTCTTCTTTATTCTCTTTAATTACTTTGCTAATTTTAATGCTATTATACAGCCTGTCTAATATGCTATCAATCATTCTTTTCTGGTCCTTTACTATTATTTCATACCTTTTTTTTATGAAGTCTTTAATTCTTTTTTCTTCTTCTGTTTGTTTTTTAGCTTGCTATTTCTTGTATAGCACTTTCTACTATATCTTTAGATTTTTATTATTTGTTGGATCTGCTATGTCTCCCAGATCCTATTTTCTTTTAATTGTTTTAATGAAGGCATTGAGATCTCCTTTTTTTTGTCTAACAGGCTTGTATAGCCTTTTCTCTTTATCTTTCTGCACCATTTGTCTAGCTTTCTTGTATCTTGTCTAAGCCTGTTTGTTATAATGCTGTATCTTTTTGCTAATATGAGTTCAGCTACTTTCTTCTTTTGTAGAAGTGTGCTTATTGCTGCTGTTCTAATGGCTCATTCAATTATATTCCACATTTGGTCTATGTTTAGTTTTTCAAATTCTTCTGCCTAATACAGAATACTCCCTTTTTGATTATCTATGTTGTGGTAGAGCTTTTCTTCTTCTTTGTCTTTCTTGATCAACTCTTTTACTTGTCTTTTAATTTCTTCTTCGAGCTTTGCCTCATACTCCTCTCAATCCTCTGTAGTAGCTTTTTTTAGTTCGAGATTTAGTCATTTTCTTTCTATTCTCTTCGTTTTTGTCTTGTTTTTTCCTTAAATCTATCCCTGTTTCTATTTTGAGAATGACTGCCTTGTGGTCGCTTTCAGTTATATAGGTCATATCTTCTACTTTGTTTTAGATTATATTTCCTGCCCAATATCTATTTACCCACAAGATATCGATTCTTGATTGTGTGTCTTTGTTGCTCTATATCGCTGACTCCTCTTCTGGATTGGATTTCTTAAACCTATCTATGAAGCCTTTTGTTGCTAGCTCCTCTATTATTTTCTTTTTCTTGTTGGTTTTTCTTTTCGCACTTTGTTCACAAGAGATGCTTAGGTTTGTATTAAAGTCCCCCATTATCACAAACCTTTGCTGCTTCTTCTTTCCTTGAGTGTTTGTTCTTCTTAATATATAACTTATGATTGAAGTTTGTGTTTCCTGGTCATTAGGTGCTACATATAGTACTAATATGTTTACTGTTAGTTCTTTGAACTCCAAAATCACATCTATAATATATGGGTTTTCTTTGCTGACTTCGGTTATGTGTCTTTCCCATTGTTTGTCAAGAATTATACCCATTTCTGACACTTTCTTCTTGTTTTTGTCTGCTGATGACCAAATTGCTATAAATTTTTCTTCCTTTCTGAATATAAATTTACTTTCTTTTTCTAACAGATTTGTCTCTGCCAAACCAATTATAATGATTTTCTCATCTTCTATATAGTCTATAATTGATTTTAATTTGTTTTTCTTGGTCTTAATTCTGTTTATATTATAAAATCCAATCTTAAGCTTGTTGAAAACTTGATATCTATCTTTTTTTTCATTTAATGTTCTTGTTATAGGACAATATTTACTAGTATCTTTCTGCAATACCTTCTTCTTTCTACTTACTCTTCTTTCATTATGTAGTGTTTGTTTCTTCTTTCCTTCTCGTCCCCTTTTAGTTTTTTGAGCTGTGTTTTTTACCCCTACAGCCCTTTTTCTAAATTCAACTTTATCACCTTTTTAGGATCATCTTGTGACTCTCCCTCTATTACTTGGGTTTTATTCTAAGTTCTCTAACCTTCTTAGGATTTCTATTAGTATCTCTTCTATGCTTGGTGGTTTTGCTTCATTTTTGTTTCTCTTTTTACGAGACTCCTCTTCTTTGCTAGGACCTGCTCTTGATATTCTTGAACTTTCCTCACTTGTAGTCTCTTTGAAGTGTTCTTCTCTATATTCTTGTCTTCTGTTGTGTTCTTGTTCTTTTCTTCCTCTTGTTTCATTTTTTTCTTTTCTTCTCTTTCATTTTGGCATGACTCTTCTGTCTCACTTGCAGTATTTGTTTCTTCTATATATGGAGCTTCCCATTTTAGTAGCCAGTTGTTATATCTTACCACCTTTGTAGTTGCTTGATCTTTGTCTTCTTTATATTTAAAAGCTATGATTGCTACTGCTTTTTGTCTTCCATTACTATTATGTGGTATATAGACTGACTTGGCCTCTCTATTTCTTAAGTTGTTGAGTAAAAGAACCTCTGATACACTTTTTGGTAGTCCTCTTAATTTTGCTATTATATTACTTTGACTGTTTTTTTTCTGAAGTCTTCTCTTTCTAGTATGACTTTTGCTAGTTTTTCTCTGATTGGTATTGCCCAAGGGACTTCTTTGTCTAGTTTTTTTCTAATTCTCAAAATTGCTAGTGCTTTCGAGAAGCTTCTTTTAATTTGTATTTTTTCTATCTTTCCTAATCTCTTGCAGGCATGCTATATCTCTTGCTGATTTATTTCTTTAGATAGATCTCATACTGTTATATATATTATTTTTTGTCGTCTTTTTCTGTACTTGACTCTTCATTTTCCGTTTTTTTATTGGGAACCTTCTTATAGTTTCTTTTTTCTTTCTTAT